TATTTCGCAGTCTGCAGGAATTTATGTATAGATAATTTATCGAATATAGTCGGCGGCATGCTTCCTTTCAACCATCAATTAATTTTTAATATTATTACCTAAAGTTTAATCAAACTTTTAAAACTAGAAGCCAGCAGACTTTCTTTTACACTCTATTTCGACGTAGTACGCCCCGGTTTTCTTACGAAAGTTGTGGTGGTATGCGTAATAATTAATTCTCTGTCTTATTGGATGAATTTGTATAACCTTAAATTTAATCACTATTACTATATACTTGATCACTCTAGGAACTGGAGACAGTTTTTGTTCTTCATCGTGTTCTTGCTGAAAATTTTAACATTTTTTCAGCAGATTTTATTGGCTTTGTATGCCATTTTATATTTCCCGATAAATGATGAAACCGGAGGCCAGCTTACTCTCACTCTTTTCGTTAACTGAGTTAATTTTCGGTCTACTACGACTGAACGTATAAATTCCAGTGCCCGGCACCGATTGGCCACGGAAACGCGAACTAGTATTAGAGCTTGAAATGGCCTGCTTCCGAACCCGACATTTAAGGCACTATTTGGCCCAACTGTTAGCAGCAGTAAATCCGCCTAAACCAGTATAACTTTCATTGAAACACTTCAATGCATATTCATGAAGTGAAAAAATTAAGATATGAATCAAAAGAGGAATTAATTCATTAATCCTTTCAACTAAGTTAATATAATTTAATTGCAGTTTGCGTATTTAGAAAACTTAATTCAATTTCTAATTACAAATAATTGACACCCATTCGCATAGTTTCGCGCGGCTTAAATTTAATTAATCATAATTAAGCACAATGCATAATTTCAACCAAGTTAAGATTAATTAACTCTGTCTACAGCCCGTGCCCCCATCGCCAGCATCAAGACATCTTAATTATTCAATATAATTGAAAAGATAGTACCTTTGCAATATTCCTGTAATTATCGCCTAAATTACTCCTGTATTTTTTTGTATTAGCTATATGCTGTAGAACCGTTTCTATGCCAATAAAGCCTGTTGAGGATCCAGAACAAGAGAGGAATATTAAATAAAATAAACAGAAAAATAAATCTGTTGATTCCGGAATAATGACCTCGCTATCCTCTATCGGAACATTACTAATCCCCGAACCCTGGAGTGCCTTCCATTTTAAATCAAATAATAAAGAATAATTGTTCCACTTCGACTCTTCTGAATCTTCCTCAACTAAAACTTAACTCTATTTTAGCAATTCTAAAATATTGTTAGTAATAAAAAATTCGTGTCAGCTTTAGACCAAGCTGTAGAAGCCATGAATTGGAAGTGGGGGTGTACTATAAACAATAAAAACTGACATTCACCGTATTACGAAATTATTCCTTTACCATTAGACGTTTTCAAAGCTTGTAAATTACGCGCGCTATTTAGTTCACCCACACCTTATTTATATCTCAATTATTATGAATTAAGTTTACAATTATATTCAGTTCAATCAACTTAAAGGCGACCGTTTATATAACAATAAATTAACCTATACGTTTTTGGTAACTGACAGTTTATTATTTGTAAACTTTTCGATCGTTAATACGTTCCGATTACAAATCACGAAATTCTTGGGGTATATTTTAGCATTCAGTCGAGTACCTCTCAATAACGGTTTTAAAACTGAGACGTGACGCACCTCGGGAAAAATTGCTCAATAGATTAGAGTTGGAAATAAATCTCATTAAATGTATGCGTTGCGATTCCAAAATCTTGATTGTAGCTAACGGAGAAGGATGTCATTTATAAAACTTGGTACGTTAAACATGAATGTTAATGTTAATGTGTGTGTACATTTAAGAGGAAATTATGGGGTATGTAATACACAGACGGCTTAGGCAAATCTCTTGGGAGAGTGAGAATAACTCAAACGTGTAATTAGCAACACGATTCAGGCGCTTATTTTCTACAACCCACGCCCACAAATTGTAAGGTAAAAGGGAACGTTCCCCGTGTTAAAGAAATGTCAAAACTCAAAGTGTTTCACGCAAATGGCGCCTGGCAATAATTTTGAGATTTGAAGACGGAGTCTCGCTTTATTTGGGGCTTTTGCAGGTCGTCACAATGCGTACGTGCCGAATGGAGACGGGGTAGATTTTCCGAGGCACGTTTCTATAATAACATTTTTATTAGTAGCCGCACGACGGTGAAGATGACATTAAGTTCGCAGTAAACTCAACAGGACTGACAGTTGCGACCTCGCTTATCCCGACTGATAAATGACCTAGACTTAGATATTTATAGAATTGTTAGAGTTTATTATGTCATTACATGTCGGTATAGTACAACCATAAAGGCGTTTACTGATATTAATCCCGGTTACGACAGGGTTTTCGATACATATTTTCAATTTGCGGCTCACTTGACGATATAATATTTCCACGCAAGTATCCGCTCGTCTCCTGTAATCCGAATATATAAAAATTGAGGAATGGCTAGGTTGCGATAGCCGGTCGTCATTTCATGCAAGTACCTATAAACCACCTTTTTGCGTAACATTCAGATCGTACCGTGACTCGGATTAAGCTTAAAGTATACTATATAAAGCCATGTTATACGTATGCGTAGGTATTATACTACATACATATATTCCCATCCCCATCACAAAGTTTTTTGTAAGGGTTGACCCCGGAAATATTATTCGTGTTGTCAATACCAGTGCAATAGTCCTTATCAACTAAAAAAGTTGTTACTTTTACTTGGTGATGAACGTAGCCATAGCGGTATATTCCATCATGCAACACATGATCCTCATTATTCAGTATTTGTTGTTAAGATCATCATAATTTGTTGCTAAGCGAGTTGCCAAGAAAATAATATGTAATGTCAGAATAATAAAAATAAAATAAATCTATCAAGTCAAGAAGCGTATTTTTATTGAATAAGAGTGGTTTTTACGGGTAGTAGAATCCATTCTCAACATTTTGGCGACCCCGATGTGATTGTGTTGTGGATAAGCGTATACGATTTGTTTGTACTATGGATAAATTGAAGAAGGCAAGAACACCAGTACGGACCCAATTAACAAGGTTAATAAATACAATAGGAGAATTGCTCAATCAAGAATCGATCGATGAATTAACATTACAAATTAAGTTAGAAAGTTTACACGAGAATGCTCCAAAAATCGACGATTATGACAGTAATATTTTGGAGTTAATGGCAGAAGATGATAGTATAGGAGAAGATTCACAAGAAACTGAGTTTCTCGCACAAGAAAAGTACAGAGAATCTTATAGGATGGCTAAAATCAAAACTGAAAACTATTTTGAAGGTAAAAGGGTCGCGACTAATGATAAAGCTTCAAATGTGGTAGTTAGTGAAGGACTTTCGCCTACAGTAAATGTACGAACACCACACAACACCAAATATCCAAAAATTACAATTAAAAGGTTTGAGGGCGATTTAAAGGAATGGTTAGGATTCTGGGCTCAATTCAAAAATATACACGAAGATCCGCAATTGCCTGTTTCAGAAAAGTTTCAATATTTGGTGCAGTCAATTACAAAAGGCTCCAAAGCATATGGCGTCGTGTCAAGTTATCCCCNAATTCGTTTAAATTCTTCCATAAAGTTGGCACTGCGCAATGCGCATGCGCAAAACCAAATTTTGAAATTGGCGTTTGATTTTCCTTTATCCCAAGTGCCTATGTATCAAATTTCGTTTAAATTCTTCCATAAATATAAAAGTTGGCACTGCGCATGCGCAAAACCAAATTCTGAAATTGGCGGTTGATTTTCCTTTATTCCAAGTGCTATGTATCAAATTTCATTCAAATACTTTTATAAGTAAAAAAGTTTGCAATTCGGTTTATAAATGGTCGAGATGCGAAAGGGCACTGTGAATTTTGAATCGATTGTCGTACGCTCGTTGTGAGTAGATCAAGTGCGCGCTGCTCCGACAAACAAGTTATTCTGATTATAATTTACTGTGTTTAACGTAATATTTTGATGGAATACACTAGGGAACAAAAAATGGAGATCAGCACAATTATAAAAGAATCGATTACAGCGTTGCTAGAAGACCGGGATTTTATGGACAAATTGGCCGCTAAAGTTGCAATGTCCATTGAGAAAAAGTTGGAGGATTTCAAAATACAAACGGAGGGCCGGTTGAATAATCTGAAGAAAGAAAATGTAAAGCTAGCTACTGAATTGGACGAATTAAAGCAGTATTCGAGAAGGAATAATATCCGCGTTTTTGGTATTCCCGAAACTTCAGGTGAGAATGTTGAAGATAAGTTTCTATCTGTTACAAAAGATAGAATGTCCATTGTCCTTATGCCGAACGAAATTGAGCGCTGTCACCGCATTGGCAAGAAAATTAACAATAAACCACGTCCCGTCATCATCAAATTCATGAGTTATAAAACTAAGGCGCTACTGTACTTAAATAAAAAATTGCTTAAGGGTACGGGAATTACATTACGGGAGGACCTTACTAGCGATCGCGCGAAGTTGTATAAATTGGCAGTGGATAAATATGGGTTTAATAACGTATGGACATACGACGGTGTCATAAAATTAAAGTTAAAAAACACGATACAATCAATTAGAAGTGCCGATGATATCGGTCTGGATTGAACGTGCTTTTCTAGTAGTGAGGATTCGTTCCCAGTTCTTAATTATTAATAGGTGATAGCATTACAATGATTTTTTTGTTTTTATTTAAGAATGAACACAGTTTATTTATTACGTTTTAGTTATAGTTATTGATGTCGAAGCGCGTACTGATAAATACGCAAGCAGCAGGGGTTTCTACATTTCAATTATTAAAACCACTTGAATTACTATATTTGTTTGTACACATTCTGTTTAGATAATTTTTTTGGAATTTCCGTATTTTTCTTTTTGTAATTTTGTTATACATACATACCTAAGCATAATCTTATCAAGAGAGAATTTTTATTTGTTACCCATCGGTTGATAGTTTTGTTAACATGAGAATATAGGCAATACTACAGATTCACATATCATGGAAACTTTGATCGAAATATAAAACATTATTCATTAACGTTCAATTTTATTTCTGAGCAACGCAAATTGTTATAATGACATTTAGTGTTGCGCATATTAATGTCAGATCGCTCCTTAATAATTTTCAGACTTTTTCGGAAAGGATTTTGCCATTTTCGTATGACGTAGTAGGCGTTACAGAAACATGGCTAAATGGTAACGTTCATACTGACGCTATTAATCTCGATACCTATGTATTCATTCGGTCAGATAGACAAACTAGTAGAGGTGGTGATTTTGGTGTCTACCTAAAAGGTAATATTCCTTATTCACTAATACTTAATCAAGTCACCCAGAGTATTGAGCACTTATGGGTTAAGCTATACTTATCAAATTTGACATTGGTTCTAGGTGTGATTTACAGACCCCCTAACTCTGAGATGCAATCGTTCCTATCAACCATAGAGGATACTTTAGCGGATATATATCCACAAGAAGGTAATGTTATATGTGTAGGTGATTATAATATTGACTTATTTAAATTCAATACAAATGCAGATAATTTAATTGCAATACATGAAATTTTTAATTTAAAACAGATTATTAACGTACCAACGCGGGTTACTAGCGATTCGGCGACCTTAATAGATTTGTTATTCCTGAACCTAGACAATCCTGTAGTTAATTCTGGAACTGTTGATATCGACATATCAGACCATTTTTTAATCTTCTGTGAATTACAGGTAGACCAGCCTGTAGCAGAAACCCCCAATATTGTTTCATTTCGTCAGCTTCACAATATTGACAAACAACAATTTCAAAAACATATGGAGGACGCTAAATTACAATTAGATTCAATTTTTGTGATTCAAAATATTGACGATAAAGTTTCACTTTTAAATCAACAAATTCTCTCCTGGTTTAATTATCATGCACCTTTAAAAAGACGGCAGGGTTGTACCAAAATTTCACCCTGGATCACACCAAATATTAAATTGATGCAGAAACTAAGGGATAAAGCGTTTAATAGTTACAAAAAATGTAAAACATCGGGGAAATGGGAGTACTATAAGCAATTAAGAAATTTCACTACAAATGCCATCAGAAATGAAAGGAGAGCCTACCTTAAACATAAGTTAGAGAATAGTACAGTTAAGGAGAAGTGGGCGGAATTGAAAAAACTAAATACTAGCAAGACACGTCGTACTATTCCCACTAAACTTAAGGACCCTAACTTAATGAATTCTTATTTTGTAGGATCCACAATACAAATATCCGGAGCTCAACAAAATCTCATTAACTACTATAATGTCACGTGTTCTGTAAATGATAGTTTTTCTTTCAACCTGGTTACTGAGATGGAAGTCACTAGTATTGTATACAAAATAAAAACAAAAGCATTTGGTACCGACGGTTTAAATATAGATCTTGTTTTATATTGCTGTCCTTATATTATCAAATATATAACACATATAGTTAATGAATGTTTGCAAAATTCATACTTTCCTCGTGAATGGAAACAAGCAAAAGTTATTCCCTTGCCAAAAATCAATTCGCCGACAGAATATAGCCATCTACGGTGTATTAGTATCTTGCCGGTCATGTCGAAAGTTTTGGAAAAGATAATGGAATTGCAAATAAGAGCATATCTTGATAAGCAGGAGATTATACTCCCAACTCAATCGGGGTTTAGAAAAGGATACAGCTGTATTACAACCCTAGCTGATATTACTGATGACATTATGGCTGCTGTAGACCAAAATAAGATTTCAGTTTTAATTTTGCTTGACTATTCCAAGGCCTTCGACATGATTAGTCATCCTCTCTTAGTTGCAATATTACACTACATCGGGTTTAGCCAAAAGGATCGGCTGCTTCTAGAATCATTTACATCAGATAGAAGTCAAAGGGTATTTATAGACGGAAAAACATCACAATCCCTGGCACTTACTAGAGGAGTTCCACAAGGATCTATATTAGGGCCGCTGCTTTACACAGTTTATACCTCCCAGTTTCATAAGGTAATTCGTTTTTGCAAAAGTCACTTTTTTGCTGACGACACGCAACTACTGACTTCTTTTTCTCCTAATCAAATGGCAGATGTAAACACATTTATTAATGAAGATCTGGAAAGTTTGCTTTCAATATCAAATGATCACGGCCTTCAAATAAACCCTAAAAAATCAATGGCCATAGTATTTGGTTCCGAGCGCAATAGGACTAACGCTATGAATAATTTGCAGTTAATATTGGGTGGTGCTAGGTTAACTTTTACCGATAAAGTAAACAGTTTGGGTATCATTATAGATCACAAACTTAGATTCACGAGTTACGTAACCCATATGCTGCAAAAGAGTTACAGTGCTCTCAAGCTAATTTACTGACATCGTCACATTCTTGGACAAAACCTCAAGAAAATTTTATGTGAGTCACTAGTACTATCGCATCTTAATTACGGTGATGTATTATATGCTCCTTGCTTAACCGTGTTTGACATTAAAAGACTGCAGAAGGTTCAAAACTCCTGCTTACGTTTGATGTTTGGTGTGCGACGAGGAAGGCATATATCCCATAAACGAATAATAGTTCAATGGTTGACAATGTTTGACAGAAGAGTTCTACATATGACATGCTTTTATTATAAAATCTTAAAGTATAAAACTCCTCCTTACCTTGCCAACAAAGTAACATTTAGAACCGATATCCATAATATAAATATTCGAAGGAAAGATCTTATCACAATTCCCCGCCACTACAAGTCAATTTTCAAACGATCGTTCTCCTACAACATTGCGAAATGGGTAAATCATTTTCATATCAATGATCTCACTATGTCATGTCATACGTTAAAATCAAAAATTAGAGAACGGCTATTGATCGACGATTAGTATGTGTAACAATTGACAGTCAGCACATAACATATCAAACCCGAAAGTATTTCTAACGCTTCCGTGATACATACATAGTATCTGTACTTTTGTAAACGCCCTATTTTGCTTGGTAAATAATAAGAAAATCTCTCTATTTTAAAATCACAACTCTACTGCAACATTTTACAATCAGGTTCATGCGGAAGAACAGTATTCTGGCTTTGAGTCAGTTGTCTGAGCTTGAATCCTTATTTCATTAAGTGTACAATACAAATGTTTTGTTTTCTTATCTTTTTTGTAAATTATTGGAAAACCTAATGAAATAAAAATTATTATTATTATTATTATTATTATTATCAAATGCGCCCAGGGGAATGAATAGAAGAGGGACCGCAATAATGGAGTAGGTAGATATTTTGGGATTGGGTGCATTGCTTAATTTAGGGAGTACAATTTGATGGTTTTTATTGTGTACATAATCATTCTCTAAGTGGGCCGGTCGTAGCATGATGGTTCATCCCAAAAAAACTATAGCCCAAATTAAATGGTGCTTTATTTCGGTTTTTAGTTAAACGATAGAGTGCGCGTTTTAAGGGAAAAAAATCAAATGAGGCGTGTAAAACCCTTCTTAGCTTTATGCGTTGGCTGAACTTTTCTATAAAGCGGTGAAATTGAAATCTCGATAAATTATAGAAAGCTGAAATGGTTATTTCCATAAAAGTCAGAAGGATGGCATATTACTGGCGAGGAAATATTTAATTTCCGAGTCAAGTATAATGTCATTTTACTCACGAGTTTTGTATTACCTAAATTTTACCAAAAATCGTATTTTAATATAAAATTTCAATTTTTATAGAACTTTTTATTAATTTCAATCTGTCAGTGATGACAGGAGTCATTATAGACATTTAGCAATGTCACAGGTGCGGCCGGTAAGGTGACAGGCGGCAAGAATCGTAGTCTGGTCCATGGTCTTGTTTGCCTCTGTCATGGACACTAAAATTTCGTGATATAAGTAAAGTAGGCTTCATGAAAATGAAGGTTTCATGACGATTTTGGGTAACAGTTATTTGAACAAACTCGTTCAATTGACATACTTGCTACGCTCGTGAGTCAAACTTTTCACACGAGTTGAAAAACTTCACTTTCTTCTCAAGTTTTACACATAATTTTTTTCTGAAACTACAATCAAAGTTGAAAAATTATCGTATGCAATAATGAAGTTTGACACATAGCAATCTAGATACGGGTATGTTTCAATTTTAAATGTCATTATTAAGATTAACGCAGCAATTGTTTTTTACTTTCCTCACTAGTGATGAGGAAAATCACATTTTCTTCACTCTTTTTAGAGACGAAAGTAGTTGTTTCTAAAGTAGTTTCAGAAAAGCGATTTTAATTCATTCTAAATGAGAGTTTTTTAGGTTTCCTAGTTTTAGATTAGAAAATTTGGTCGCACTTAATTTGCTGAATTTTATCGTACGTACAGAACATTTCATTTTTTAAAGTTCTGTTCCATGTTATCCGAAAAGCGTGTTAAGCTAAGTTTTGGGTACTTGTTTTTCATAATGAAAATTGTGACGTAATTAATGTCAATGTGGAGAGAGTCTTTTTTTTAGTTGAAAAGTAAAAGTATGCCCCCCTACTAGGAGAACAATTGTAGCATACCAAATATTTACATGGTATGTAATCAGGGTGCTGATTTAAAAGTCTTCTAATACGGAAGATTCGCCCTGCTTCCGAAAAGATTCGCCCTCCTGAATATTCGTCGTCGGAAGACAGACAGACAAAACCATCACATAACGGAAATCTTTTTTCTTCCGAAAAATTCCTCTAACAATTCGCCATCTGATTAAAAATATTTTTTAAGCTCTTATTCCATTTAGGTACACAAAAACTAGGTTACAAGATTTTCAAGTAATAACATTTAAAATTACTCTTTGCATCCGTCATTTATTTCATAAAAGTGAAATTTCAGAACCATAAATGGAAGATATGACATATGGGCATCACGCGAAACTAAATTTCAAGCAGAATAAATAAAAAAAAAATAAGAGTTACTTCGGTTTTCAGAATAACTCCTACCAATAGATTTTCACATTCTATAAGCGTTCCCGCAAACGTTCAACTATAACTCTTGATAAGCAAATTGCACAGTTCAGTCTAGATACGCTCAAAAACTTATCAATTTTTGAGTTTAGAAGAGACGCAAATATTTTAATAGCAACCTGTTCCAGCACCTGAGACACTTGACAGAGTACCTTTATGAAACCTCTAATTTTTCCTTTTGTCATTTTTCGCGTGCACTTATCGTACAGAAAACAGTAGTCTCGTATTTTAGAAATCTGACAAAATTCTCTGTGTGGTTATTGTTTTTAGCGCATTTTCCAACTCATTATGCGCACTTTCTCCGTCCGTCCGATGCCTTAACTGCTCCTACAGTTTTCGATAAATTTAGTTCGCTCTGGCACCTCAACTAAGAAAAGGAATAAATTATTATTATTATTCTCCCTTTATTAATCGTTCTTACTTTGTACTTAGTTTTAAAATAGGGTGAGCTTAAAGGGATAAAACAAAGTAGTGCTCGCATATAAACATATAAATCAACGTTTTAAATGTCTCTATCTCACTTAATTTTTGTTATATAGAAAATTCCCGGTGAGTAACATTTTTAGAATTAAAAAAGCTACAATTTGAAGCTGTAGCATTTGTTTACGTAGCTCCAACTGTTTTGGAGTTCTCTTGAGGAGAAGGCCGTTTTTCACAAAATTGCAGAAATTCGTTTTTCACTTTTAGCTTCAAAAATTTTCTAAACTGGTCACACTTCTAGAATGTATTACTAATATGTACGTACCTAATTAGAGAAAACTGGTAGTTAGGGTGGTAATTAGGGGGTTGCTTTCGCTGAAAGAGTAGGAACCTGGCTTATTTTCATCATCACTCGCTTAATTTTTATATTAAAGTTTGTTCTTAAAAAAAAGAAGAAAGGGTTTTTAAAGTTTTTTTTTTTAAATGCCTAATGTTGCCATTATTTCTGTGTGAAACTCTCTAACTTAGCGTTTCATGAACAAGAGGTAACCTATAACAATCCACAACTCGATTCGTATTGGTCGTACAGCAATAATTTAAAAAAAACATTTTCTTTGTTTTTTAAAAGCTATGATTTTGTTCTTCACAGTTTTTTTTAATAAAACGCATACTTTTCGAGATTTTCAATTAAAAACATTGGTCTGCTCTATGAAAACTCATGCTTTATGTCGGAAAAACTGGAAAAGTTCCCTTAGAATTAATTTTTGCATCTATTTCTGTAGTCAAAGAACAATAAAAAATTTCCACCTCTGAGATTAGGTGAAGGCTTGATTTTGATCCTTAGCATATTTCCTACCTACTGTCAAAATTTCAAGTTAATCGGTTCATTTTGAAAAAATTTCCAGGGAAAAGTCTTCATCTCCTGGACTATAATTATACAACACACACATCGTACTATTCCAGAATTAAAAACACGCTCTTTAAACGTTTAAACACATCCATAAAGTAAATTGAAAGAAATCAACTCGCGAAAGATCTACTAAAGTTAAATATTTATGAAAATGTAATGATGCAATTGCAACCCTCAATAATGAACATTGTAAAACATCAATATGGTAAACAATACAAATGCCTCGTACATTTTTAAAGAGGTTTAATAGTAATACAGGGCCGTAGGCAGGAAATTCATTCAAGACGGGCTGGATTTCCGATTGATCACATATTTATTACCGAGTCATATTCATAAAACTACAGCTATCAGTCGTATCTACTGCAGACCATATGCGCCCATCTCGACAAGGCGCGGAGAGTACCCTCAGTGAAATTTCGGAGGGGGCTCAGCTCCCCCTCTGGTACGTGCCTGTAGTAAAACGTATAAAAGTCGAAATACTGTACAGATATGTAATGAAGATCTACTATTAGATAATGATAACGACTTGATATTGTTAGTACCGAACGAATTAGTAATCAAATTGCTTCATACTTATTACTCTAACTTTACTTGATAGATTTGCAGTTTTAATTTAGCAATTTTTGCGGTGTTTTTGATAAGATCTTCCAGCAGTGGCCTACATTATTTTTAACGATCTGATTTAAATATACTGAGCTATGATTTTCGTTGAATATGCAGTTTCAGAGGGCAATTTTTGAAAATATTTCAGTACTCCCCCGCTGCCACGCAAGGTCTCGAGATGGAAAATCTTACGAGCTTAATACGGTTCTGAACTTAAAATCAAAACAATAGTCTATCTCTATAGCCTTACTATGGGGAGTCACGTATCAAACATTGAATAGCAGCTACATTTCACGTACCTACGTCACCATTCATTAAAGGAGTAATATATGGTGACCAATTCTATGAAACGCGTATAGGACGTCCGGAGAACGTGCAAATTAATGTACCTACGTGTCCATTTTTATGAATACTTTTTGTCTTAATTTTTTGGACGGTAGTTTATAGTTATATTGATGACGAAAAATTAATTTTCATCTACCATCGTCTGTTCCTGTACATCGCCCATCCACAATTTTTCGTACTGTTTACCATATACAGAAAATTGTCACGAGAACGCTGAATCCTAACGTCGAATGACATATACTCCATGGATTTTAGGTTTGCAACGCTCCACATGATGTAATAAATCATTATCTAACACCAATTTTATCGGGGAACTGCAAAACACATTAGCACATGAGCTAAATTGTGTGCTCTTCTTGTGATACTGTCATTTGGGTTAAGATGGTGGAGCAAAATTTTTATTTTATTAACTTCGTCGCGGAAACTCCAAATTTATTGCCTTGATGCATAATAGGACGTATTTATAAGAAAAAGGATATCCTTTGAAAAAATCAAAGGATTTACTTCACATTTTATTCAAAAAGAAAAAGAAGGAAAAGGCATACGCCAGATTTACTTCAGAAAATGTGCATCTAGTCCGAAGAAGGTTTTGTTGATTTAGTTTATTCGTGTACAATCAATTGTAGAGCAAAGGTGTTTAGTTTTCGAGATTTTGATACAATCCTAACTACCCAGTGCCCATTCGATATGGTGCACGTACGCCCACGAAAAGTGTACAAAAAAAGGCCCACTTCACCGTTTATATGTGATGCATAGGTACGATTTATAATCCTAAATCATTTCAAACGCCAAGAAGAGATATTTCATTGTCATTGTCTCTTTTCTTAAACGGTCGGAAATGTACGGTTCCCGTTAACACTTTCTACGGGCCGTTTTTCGGAAAATTTGAATGTACATAACACTAGATGTAGAATTAGAAACTACACCCATACTTTCTTATTTCTTATGGACGCTATATTGGATTATTACGGAATAAGATAGAGGACAAAAAGGAAATTCATTTGAATGCATCGCCCTAGTTACTCGTGTATGTTTTGTTGAGAAATCATATTTTTCTTGTACATTTATGTAAAAGTATAGAGTGTGACACGTCATTATTTTTCTTTTTTGTTCTTTATCTCATTCTGAAAAAATCCAATATGGTTCCTAAAAGAAATAAGAAAGAATTCTTTAAAAAGTAATTTAACTGATATTCTTTTTCGGAATGAAATTGTAGCGTTGTTAAAGGGCAACAAATAGTGGTCTTACCACCTAATAAGTTAACAAATAATTCGTTTCACTTTCTATAGGTAGTTAGTAACTACCAATTGATAGTGTGATGGGGATACATATCGATACTGTCGGTAAATCTGTCAATCGTTTAATACGACGTAAATAAAAGGGGTAGTAGCTTCTTAACAATTATACAATTATAAAGTATAATGAACAAATTTCTGAAATCAAAAGCGGTTTGGGGTGAGCTAGGGTCCCACTATCTGTCTCTGTCGTGGATCATCATTGGGACCTACCTAACGTTGAGAGATACAATGTATGTTAAGTCGGGTCCTCTTTTCCTGACAAAAAAAACACATTTGAAATTTTTGAAAAATCTTTGAAAATAACTGAGGTATCATCGAAAAACTGAAAATTCTGTTTTCAATTTCCCTAACTTGAACGGTTAACATTATATGGGCCTTTTTTTTCGGAGAATCTAAATCTGTTCAGAATTTTCATAACAGGCTAGATGTAGAAGCTACAGGCCACTAATTTCTTATCTCCTATGAACGCTACATTGAATTTTTACGGATTGTCGTAGAGGACAACTCATATCAATGCATCGCCATCACAGCCATATTGATTCAGCAAGATCTAGTTACCTGTTTTGTTGAGAAATGAATGTAAAGCATTTGATTTTTAAATTTTGATTGTAAATTTATGTTAAAGTGCTATTTTTCATTTTTTTGTCCTCTATCTCATTCAAAAATCCTATTGGCTCTCATAATAAATAAGAAAGTAAAGTAGCCTGTAGCGTTTATATCTAGCGTGTAGGGAAATTCTGAAACAGATTCAAATTCTTCGAAAAAAGTGACCATGGAAAGTGTTAAAGGAACCGTCTATTTGCGACCATTTTCAGTTTTTCAATGATATCTCAGATATCAAAGATTTTTCAAAGGCGGTTTAGTTAGTCACAGAAAGGGGCAACATTATCCCATTTAACCTACACTGTATCTCTCGCACCGTTACGGAGATCCCATGGTGAGCCACCAATTTGAACCACCCTGTACAGTGTACAAGTAGATAATATTTATATTATGTTTAGTAACTCCCTATCATTCCCCTTTCAATTGGTTCAACCAATTTTAATTTGGGATTATAAAAAAAACTGTTTTTGTATCTCCTGTGGAACAGTTAACGCTTTGTTGAATGTTGACATATCTTAACAAATAACAAATTGCGAATTAGTTGTACTTGAAAAATACTGTAAAAGTTAACTCTATTGGAAACTTATCAAATTCATGTCGCACTTCAAAAGGAAGCATTTTGTTCGATCTTTGTTAGATACATGAATAGAACAAGCTGTTGCCAGTTCAACTTTTTTCTGTTTAAGTATATTACTTGTTATAACGGTGCTGCAACAAGTGGCAAGCTGTCACTCTACTTCGATTTTAACACATGAATTTGTTGCACTTGTGGGTTCTGAATGGATTCCTTGTTTAGTAGATTAAGAAGTAAAGTAAATATTCCTTTCCTTGCCAGTGTACCCCATTAATTACCATCATGTCCGCTCCTGGAGTAACATCAAGCGCTTCCAACCGTCGTCAGAAACGTATGGGCCCCGCACCTTTTGCTTCTTTCGAGGACCTCTCAGACGAGGTGAGAACCCGTGTACGTATCAAGTAGCAAATCACAATGCTAACGCAACACTTTCACCTATTGCACTTCTCACACACGTAATTTCTCTGTTTAATCAGAGTTCTTTCATTTCCTAAATAAAACGTGTAACATTGCAGTTGGATAGTCCGGAGGATAAGCACCTGGGGCCTTCTGTGGTTCGTCTGCCGGGCATTCGAGAGGATGCGACGCCATGCACGCCGGTTCCGGATTGTATTTACACGGTAACAGGGGCACCGACCCCTGCACGCTCTAGCACCCCACCAAGCACAACAATTTCATCATTGTCAACACCGCAGGAGTCTCAGACTAGTACCAAAATGAGCCTACAAACACCAAGTACGCCTAGAATCGATATATCAAGAGCTAGTAGTTCCTCACATCACGAAGATAGTCGAGACAGCACACCTGAAAGAGAGCTTTTTGACGGACACGAACATGGAAGTGCCAAATTAGGGTTAGCGTTTAAAGAAGAAGGCGCTCTCGACCTGCGGTCTTCCACCGAAGAATTAGACTTTCACGATCCGCAAGAGAAAACGAAAGGGCACAGGGAACGGCCACAATCGCCTTGTTACCACGATTGTCAACGTAAAGATTCGCAAAGCTCCGAAATAGGCTTACTCTCAATTTCTGGAAGAACCTCACGATTATCTAGCATCGGTAGCCAGGGATCTGCACATAGCAGAATATCTAACGTTAGTCATTTATCTATCGTATCGGGGCAGTCCGGAAGATCACCCTCGCCTCACAAAATGTTATTGGAGACTTCCTTCTGTGGATATAAATCGCCAGTATCCCTCCCACAGCCGGTGGGTCAACATGAAGGCAAAATTGACGCGGAAGTTTTAGAAAAGGTACTGTTGGCACGCAAACATGATCCACGAGAAGCGATTTTGGCGGAGGGAATCACGATGGAAAAGAAAGCAAAAATGGAATCGAAAAAATCCGCCGAGAAAGTTCCAAAGTCGTCTCAAAAGCTAAACCCGGATATCACCATAACAGTTCAGAACCCTAGCGAAGTCGACAAGCCGAAACTTCCAAGAACTTTTGTATCCCCTAGCGGGGTGGAATATATTTACATACCTCTGAAGGGTCCCCTACCGCGCGACGACAGAAAAGGAAGCATCCAAAGGGTGGTGTCGGCCTCGCATGCGAGACCGACGGTTCAAGCAAAAGGCAAGGAAGCTCCTCTCGGTAAAAGTCGGTCAAAGTCGGCGTGTACTTCGCCATCTATTCAAAAATCGCCTTCGGTTCGTAGCAATGAAGAACCCAAGTATATACGAATTAAATTGAAACCTGATCACATGTATGAAGACGACGATAGTAGGACAGATGTGAGGAAACCTGCGTGTTTAAATTTGCACGAAGGTAGCAAAAAACAATTTCAATCGTTTACGCAGGTAGTTAGTGAACCTCCAGCTGAAAATTTGCACTCTATAGCTCACGCACCCGAGAAACCTATCGCCGGAGCAAGCCCTCAACCTACGCGGCACAAAGTCCTTAAAGAGCCTGCGAGTAGTAAAACACCGTCCCCGTCTCTGTCTAGAAGAAGCTCATTCACATCGCTGTTTAAAAGCCGCGAGACCGTGGTCAGTCCCGATTCACCCACTGTAGCCGGTTTTAAGCGTAAGAACACCATATCGGGTATTTTGAAGGACGCAAGCGAGAATATAAGGGAAAGAACTAGGAGTAGGTCTAAAAGTAGAGAAAGGGATAAATCCTCTGTATCCACTGCCCCATCGTCCACCGAAAGCATCGATAGCGCTAAATCGAAACCACAAAAGTCGGTGTTGTCCATCTTCAAGCCCAAAAAAAGCACAAAATCGAAGTCTGACTCGGCGAGCACGTCGCCCGAGAAGTTTCCCAACATTGATGCCATCACGAACGTAGAGTTTCAATTCGACAGTTCTCAGTCGAGTAGTAAAAAGTATTACGAAACCCCCCTCCCCGGTGAAAGTATACGGATACCACTCCATTCGCCTACTCATTACGAGGACCAATCTATTTTACAAGAATTTAAAAGTTCTAGTCAAGATTCTCAAGAAACTGTCATAGACACAACAAAGCGAGTGGCTGTTGATATCGAACACGACACCCCAACTCCAACACCGACAGTCAGCGCCGAAGTTAGTAAAAGACAAAACAGCCCCGGTAGCGAAAATGTAGTTTTTACAACGCAGTTAGGTAGCAATAACGATTTATTCACAACAAAGATACCGAAGGAGAAACAAACGAGTAAAACGCCAAACGAAATTAAACCCGAAATTAACCAAAACGGGATTGTAACTTTTCTAGCGAGTAACGAAAAAAATCCGCCGGCGATCGACAAAAGCGTAACACTCAACGAACTCAAGAGAGTGGCCGTCGATGACGAGGAACGAAATAAGATCACGAAAACGGAAAGCTTGAATTTGACAAAAGCCATCGTGGCGTCGATGAGTGAGCATCAGCTTTCCAAGGAAGCAGTCATCAAGGAACTGACCGAGGGTTCGAAATTTTTGCGGAATTCCGTATTGGGTTCGCTGACTAACGAAGAGCGTTACTCCTCGGAATCGGAGAAAGATAGTGAACTCGATTATTTAAAGGCGAAGAAAGAGGAGGAGAAAATGGAAGTGGAAGTGGTCGAACCGGAGCGGAAGGGTCTGGTGCTTCAACAGGATTCCTTCGACGATGAGTTGCCCTACGTTCCAACTACGCTGCCGCTGGAAAGATCAGTCGCGGTTCCGATAGTACCTGTAAAACAACGAGGAAGTTTCGAGGTGAGAACGTATCCCATCGAAAGGCCCAGATCGACGACCCCGATTAATCTAAGCACGCTGGAAGATTACTGTGAAGACGTTGTCGGATATATCAACACCGATAACATTACCAAAGCGATTGAGAAGTTGAAGATCTCTCTACCAAAGGATGACGCACCCGAACGTGTTACGAAGGCAAAATCTCCAAGAAAACCAACCGGTGGTGGCGCAAACTGGTTTGCGTTCACGGATAAGGGGGCGAAGTGGACTTCTCCTACTCAAGAAGGATCTCCCCCACCGTTACCCCCCAAAGGGATGCAAAAGGAGTGGATTAACTTTGAGGAAATTCCGGAACGGCGAAAACCCCCGCGTAGAATTCAAACAATTCCGTCTCGGGGAACGATTGAGGTACCCGAATCCGTTTTACAGGAGCACGTCGTTTACAGTTACGTAAACCCCGAAGATTGCAAATGCGAATGCCACGAGTTGGCGAGGGAGCGAGAGCACCAAACCCGGCAGCAGGAGGAGACTCGTGTCCAAGAAGACGAGGTACCTTTATTGGAAGACGAGCCGATAGAAGAAGAGAAGAGTTCGCAGGAGGTGGATCGGATTAAAGTGGAAACGACACAGTTCGACAGGCGGAGCATTATTAGGTAAGGTTCGATTTCTTCTTTGCGCTACCTAATTAATTGTGGTTAGTGATTCCTCTTTAGATCTAAGTACAAGTCTT